GTGTGTGTGTGTGTGTGTGTGTGTGTATGTATGTATGTATGTATGTATGTATATTATTCTATTAAGTCCTAAATGGTGGACTCATCACGTCTAATTTTATATACCAAACATGTTGCACATGCCTACCATTTAAATCTAAATCATTGTTGCTCGCGCATTCATTTCATCTTAGAGGTGCCATTACACTATTATTATGATTGTATATTGTTGGGTTTTAGAGAATTGAGCAGAATCATATTATTGATATCAAAAGGTGTATAAATACATGATACCAGAGTTATAAAATGGGAATAACATAACATGTAAATCTCTAGGATTAAATTAATTCATAATAACTATCTAGAGATAAGAAGAAAGCCATAAATAAGGAAATATATATATATAGACACACGCACACGCACACGCACACGCACACGCACATATAGCCTCTTTTGAAATCAACAACAATTATATGATTTTTTCTTCATACTGCAAGTTCTTTATATGACCAGAAGTAGCGGACCTTTCCCAGCTGGTGTTATTCTGCATTCTTTCATGGGTTCTGCTGAGATGGTGCCAGCTTTCACTAAACTTGGTTCTTATTTCTCCTTCTCTGGGTTTTTAACATCAATGAAATCTGAGAAAGCTAAGAAAATGCTCAAATCGGTGAGTAATCTTCTATGCTATTTAATTATTAAGATTTTACTATTTAATCTGTAAATAATTCAGATTCTGAATGATTGATTTGTTAGGTGCCTATTGAAAGGATTCTATTTGAATCAGATGCACCAGATGCATTGCCCAAGTCAAACATAGATTATTCACCACTTCTGGTGGAAAACTCTGTAGCACACGGTCATCAAAGCCATCGTCCAAAGGAGGAACTGAATCATCCAGCTAATATTCAAATTGTAAGTGTTAATACTTTTGATTTATTATTTTATTTTGGGAAATTTTCTTAATAGCTTTAAAAAGTTGTTTTGTGTAAATTAAAATTAAGAATTGGTGAAGCACTTCAAAAAATGAAAAGAGAAAGATCTAGGAAAATCCCAATAATTCTGATGAATAAAAATGAAGGAAATTTACACACGTAACACACAATTTTTATGAATTTACATACCTACACCTAAACTTTGATATTTACATACATGATGATGTTGCCCAGTAGCTAAGATAACCTAATCAATTAAGTTGGTTTAATGAACTTGCCATCTTTATGCTGTTTCTGTTTGTGCATTGATCGGACTTACACCCCTAAGTTATTCAAGGAAACTAATTATCTCATTTAAGTTCTTGGACTATATTAAATTTTTTGTTTTGACTTGATTTGAAGAATTGGATTTGCTGCTTTTTTTTGCGAGTTGCTGATAGGGCTGGGGTTTGTAATTCTCTTTTTCAGATCTTCTTAATGTGGAACTTGTCACTCAGATGTTGAAATCAAGCAGACTTCTGGGCTAGGAAGCTCGGTAAATTAAGTTGTGGTTTATGAGCATTAGGACTTACAAGAGGCCTATTGGACAATAGATTTGTATCCTTAGATTTCACGGGAATTCAATGTAGGCCTTGCGGCTTTAGCTTTTTAGAGTGACCAATAAAGTTAGGTATTATAATGTTCTTCTATAAATAAGTTGATCGATTTAATTGATACATACAATCTCTGCTAAGGAAAGCTTATAATTGCATTGTAGCTTTGAAAGAGTGCTGACTTCAGCGTTTATGATGAGGTAATCGCTCATCAGGACCCTTAGTTCAACCCTGCCAGACTTGAGATGGTGGTGGCCTACTGGCAGGTGGTGACAGCCGGGTGGCAGCAAGCAACTCTTTACACAAAGTAATGTCAATGGTGGTGGTGCGGAATTCGGAGGGGGGGAGATGGGTAGAGGGTGGGGTTTACAGCTGTAATGGTTGGACCAGTGGTGGCCTACTGGTAGGTGGCGATGGGCAGGCGGTGGCAAGTAACTCTTTACACAAAGTAATGTATTTGGAATTCACTCAAATCCAGCGAATTTTAAATACATTAAAAATCAAATTGGAGAATAAATTGCAAATTTATTATAATTTTATGTTATATTTGGAATTCATCTGACCAAACAACCAGAAATCTAAAAAATGCTGCAAAAAGAAAACAATTCTTTCCTTTTGTAGCGAACGAAACAACACTTGACTAAATCAAAAATATTTAATGTGTTGGTTTTCCTTCATCCATTTTTAAAATGCTAGTATTCAATTGCTTAAGAATTAAGCTTGAAGAGCAGACATCCTACCTTGATACCGGAGTTGATCCAAACCACAGTAGGAAAAACATATCTTATTATCAAAAACAAATAAGTGGTTACAATTAACACACTAGAAAGTGAAATTGCAACACAAACTCACGCTAGGCCTCGACCCATGGGTGGTAGAGATCGGCTAGGTAGTTGGGGAGCAAAGGTAGATGGCTGAAATGGGGTTGTAGGTGGTTGCGACAGCCAAAGGAGGGGCTGGAACTGCGTTGGTAGCGGAGCAGAATGCTAGGACACCAAGGGCAGCATATGAGGTGGCGAGCAGTGGGGCGGGGCGCTGTAGGAAAGGCTGGAACAGCTATTGGACAACAGTAAAAGAACAGATTTACTGTTTTCTGGAGAACGACAGCGAAAGGACGAAGCGAGGAGTCTGCATGGCAGCAAAGGGCCGCTGTTTGAGATGGGGGCAGGCTGGAGTGGGAAGAATGCAATGAAAAACAGCAAAAGCTGCTGTCCTGGGGTCGGCTGCAGCAGAAGGACAATGTGGGATGAGGAAATGATAAGTTACCACCTAAAAACCACGATATAGTCGAAGCACCACTTGAAACCCTATGATATAGCCCTCGAAGGGAAGAAAAGATGCCGGTGGCTGTCCCGATACAAACCACACCAAAAATTAACATCCAAATCCTAATATAATACATACATAAGAAATGTCTAAAAAGGAATGAAGGACAATAATCTTTTGTGGTACTGTATTAAAGGAAAACAAGATTATTTTGACTATTTTTGCGATATAATCTTTTGTGGTACTGTAGCAACAATAATATGATGATATGTTTTGTGGTAGGCTCCCGCGTCAATTTTTGGGGTTGGGGGATGTTTTACTTCATTCGTTGAAGCCTCTAATTTCTTGTAGCACAGAGTTAGATCTGCCACGTTAAAGGTAACATAGATATTGTAATTCTCTGGTAGGTTGATCATGTAGGTGCTGTCATCCCACAACATGTCTTGATAGAATAAATATGTATCCTCTCTTGCCACATCATGAGCTGGAACTGCATATAAATGTAGGTTCTCATAATGTAAGTCTTGAGCCCTTAAGTATGAAACCATTTTCTTCCACTTATGGTACTCAACGGAGTGTAGTTGATAAACTAATATGTGAGGAGAAATCAACTCTGGGGTGAAATTTGTGACAAGCTGCACCACTCTCACTTGCAACCACTTAGGAGAGACCTCTTCTCCACTAATAGAAACTAGATCCCATTGACTCCATCAAACTCTTAAGACAAATTTCAAGGCTAGGTTTCATCCATTCTGTCTGGACATTTGATGATAGGTATCATGCTGAACTGAATCTAACACCTGAATAACTCTATGTCATCTTCCATACATGACACAAAAGAGTCCCATCTCCAATGTGCTGGACCTTCCTCAGTAGGAAATTCCATCAAACTCTTAAGACAAATTTCAAGGCTAGGTTTCATCCATTCTGTCTGGACATTTGATGATAGGTATCATGCTGAACTGAATCTAACACCTGAATAACTCTATGTCATCTTCCATACATGACACAAAAGAGTCCCATCTCCAATGTGCTGGACCTTCCTCAGTAGGAAATTCCATCAAACTCTTAAGACAAATTTCAAGGCTAGGTTTCATCAATTATGTCTGGACATTTGATGATAGGTACCATGCTGAATTGAATCTAACACCTGAATAACTTTATATCATCTTCCATACATGACACAAAAGAGTCTCATCTCCAATGTGCCGAATCTTCCTCAGTATGGGCAACTTAGGAATGAGTCTATATATCTGAATGCTCTGGATTTCTCTTATATGGGGTTGTCATGCCTCTGATGCCAGTTCCTTAAACTTAAGACTGCCTTGGAAACTCACTGTAACATCGGGTGGAGACTCTCCCACGGTTGGAACTATGTGCATTTTATCCTCCTCACCTGGAAGCTAGTTAGTGTCCTCAATGTCTTTAGTGTTGATTATGTAATTACCCAATTTCTTAAGAACATCCTAGTCAGTGAAACAGATCACCCTTGATTGTCCAGACTGATTTTATGTGCCCCAATCCATGGCTTATGAGTACTAATGTGGAACTTATCACTCAGATGCTAAAATCAAGCAGACTTATGGGCTAGGAAGCTCGGTAAATTAAGTTGTGATTTATGAGTATTAGGACTTACAACTCTAAGAGGCCCATCCGACATGGACTTATAACCTTAGATTTCAGGTAAATTCATTGTGGACCTTGCGGCTTTAACTTGAGATTGACCTATAAAGCTAGGTATTATAATATTTTTCTATAGATAAGTTGATCGATCTAATTGATACTTCCAATCTCTGCTAAGGAAATATTATAATTGCATCGTAGCTTTGAAAGAGTGCCGACTTCAGTGTTTATGTCAAGGTAATCACTCATCAGGACCCTTGGATCGAGTGGGCACCAACACTGCCAGTCTCGAGATGGTGGTGGCCTATCGGCGGGCGGCAATGAGCAACTCTTTACCCAAAGTAGTGTATTAGGGTGGGTGGGTGGTGCAACCAGTGGTGGCCTCCTGGCAATGGCGAGTAACTCTTTATGAAAGCAATTTGAAATTAACTAAAATCCAACAAATTCCAAATAGATTAAAAATAAACTTGGAGATTGAATTCCAATTGTATTATAATTTTATGTTATATTTGGAATTAATTTTACCAAACAGTCAGATTTTTGAAACTTGTGCAAAATGAAAACAGCGCATTCTATTTGTAGCAAACCAAACAGCCCTAGACCAAATTAAAAACATTCAGTGTGTTGGTATGCCTTTATTCATTATTAAAATTTTAGTATTTAATTGCTTAAGATTCAAGCTTGAAGAGCAGACATCCAACCTTGTCATCCAACTAAAGCCCATAATGCCACAAAGATATCACATATTCCCACATCTTTAATTTGTAGATGACTTTTAACTTTTATTGCACTGCTCCTTGAGTTCTTCCCCTCAATCATCTTCTTTAAAGCCTTCGCTCTTGTTATCCGAAGCCATGGCGATTGCCTCACTTTCTAAATTGAAAACCCAATGTCGCTGATCATTGGTCCAACTGGTTTGTGAAGTCCACTCTTTGAGTGTTGACCATTGGGTCAACTGGTTTCTTCTCCTTTCATTGATCCTTGGACCGAACCAGTAAGTGATTACTTTTTCTCATGGACTACACTTGATTAGAAAATTTGATTGTGATGCTTGAACTGTTGTTGGATGATTGTTGACCTTTCAAGGCCAGTCGTTCACTGTTGGCCTTTAAATACAGGTAAGCCCTATCACAACTAATTAGACCGGCAAAAAACCAATAAACCTGCTAATCAAAAGTCGGATTTACATATGGATGTGTGCTCAACCTTACCTACATTTGGGTTAGCCTTTAAGCTAATAAACCCATCAACCAGATCAAATCCACTAATCAAGAAGATGTATTTTGGAATAACTTTTTCTTCTATGATTATTATTGGGCTTTGAAGTGAGTAAATGCATAATTAATCAATTATAATTACCTCAAATAAATTTAATAATATTTAAACTCATCTTGATCGAATTTAGACAAGATGCTCTAACCCAAATTTTTTTCATATGAAGCTGATTATTTGTGAAATATTTGCATCCCATTGTGTATGTATATGGTTAGATTGGACT